GACAGAGAGATATTTGCTATGAAAATGTTGTCAATCACAATGTTTTTGGCCGGTATTTGAACAACAATGTTAACATATAAATGTCAATTATAACTAATTGTTTCAATTGTTTCGCAGCCCTATTCACAACAATCGCAGTCATTATATTTGGTATCCGAGGAGACGATAGGGATTGGATGCCAGACCACGACCACAACTTCCTCTCGTGGTCTTACGGACTGGCAGTCGTCGGTGTGTTCTTTGAGTGGATGTCAGCCATACTATTCTGGGCCGAGTCTCGCATCTTATATAAGAAGGAACTCAAACGCGAACAACAAATGTTTAATTTAGAGCCAACTAATATCAAGGCTTAATTCCGCTCATTATCTCACAATCACATCATTTTTGATGCAGTTTTTCAGTGCAAACAACAGACACTTAATATTTACAAACATTCCGTCCTTTGCATCGATAATATCTGAAAATCATTTTCATTTACTGACCAGAAGTTCATACAATTAATAGCAATCAAAACAATGACTTCTGATATTTTTTACATTTTATGCACGTTTTTATATATAATTTAAATACCAATGAGTTATACATTTTATGAAATATTGTCAATAGAGTTGCACTAACAGTATTGTATATCCAGTTTTTATGACTCTATTTGTAAATACAATGAAAAACTTTTAGAATCTCAATAAAAATAATTTTTAACACTTAAATTGTTATGTATTTTTGTCTTTAATTATTGCGAAATACGATAATTACACTCCATTTTGAGGGGAAATCAAATCAAATGAAACATTTATGTAAATATCGATCAACAAAAGTGATTTTCATGCAATCATTTTCAAAAGTAACATAATATTTGAGATTTAAGATAAATACAGTATATAATGAATTTTTATGTTACCATATTTTTTAAGAATTTAAAATATGGTTAGAATAAATAAAATATGTAGAATAATTATAATTACCATATAGACACAGCACGAGATTATTTAAAATTACAAATACTCTTTCTTCACAAATTCAAGTTTTTTATTATATTTTGTTGTGTTGATAAAATAACATGTTGTTTAAATGTGAGCACACTATTATATGTAATATTTATTAATAAATGAATATAAAATTGAGTTCAATTTTTGAAAGTTTACAATTCAAGAATTATTGGTATAAAATGAATGATTTCCACATATAAATAATTGTACTGCAAAAATATACTGTAAGGTATAGTGATATAAAGTGATATAAACTACTTCACGACAAACACCACTTACATTTGTTATTATTATAGTATAATAATAGTTTCATGTAAGAGATTAACATCAGAAGTGTTAGACACTATTACGCAAACTTTTACATAAAAATAAGTTATTTTTAACAAATATTGATTTTTTCCAACGACTGACAAAATGTTATTTTGTTTGATTGAAGACTTATTTGCCTTGATTTTACTATAATTGATATTCCAATAAATATTACATAAATTCAATTAAATAATTGTCTTCTTAAA